TCCTATTCTTCTGATGACATATGTCATCAGAAGAATAGGATCACCTTTAGGACCATTGTAGGTCGAGATTTTTATGTTCACACTGGAAGACGATCATGTTATGTCCTCAACCAGACGGTCTAAAAACGGCGAGTTGAGGAAGTTCTGAGTGTGATTGACGAAAATACGGAAAACCTGTCCGGGCAGTCAGCTTGCATGCTAACTAGCGGATGCCATATGCTTGTAAGTTGCATGTAAGTTGAATGGGTCATTTGAATGTGAAAAGATCTGTGCCATCGGTGTAGCCTCGTAGCTCAGCTGGTAGAACGTGCGCTGTACAAAAAGCGTAGGCGACGTCTCTGCGTGAGTTCCAATTTTGACAAGGCTACTGAACTTTTCACAATCTCCACATAAGAAATTCAAATCTGCCAAACAACAAGTTGAACAAATTAGGTTGCTAGAGGATTTCGACAAAATCCATCGAAACGTCAAGTCTAATCTGGAAAAATAAAACGTCAATAGTCAATCATAGCCAGACATATTCGCAAGCCGTGGGAGTATCATCTGCGTCCAGTTATTAGTGCAACGTGGAATGGACAGTAGAATGATTTCCAAAAGTTTTTCTCGCATCAAAAGTAGAGAAAAATAATAAGTTGCTTGGTTTATACAGCAGAGAAATGATGCGTTCAGACATCGTTGATGATAAACTCTTTTTTCTAAAGAGTATTTTTGGCACAAAAGAAATAGCGGGTGTCAAGAAGATTGGAGACGCTCGTTTACCGGAGAAACGGAGGCAGAAACCATTCAGGGCCGGTTATCAGGTACCGGTAATGGAATATCCTATACTGCACGATTAACAGCTTGCTCACATTCAAACCGATTGCGTGTTTTTAACCGAAGGACAGAGTACCAGATTCTACGGCTTCCTATGTGCATCTGTTCATCTTGTCCTGTAAGATTAAGCAAATTGATCGCACTGAAAGGCGCTTATTCGATTGCATTCACGAACACTATCGTTGGAACAATTAGGATCATTACAAGCGTGGTGTGTTTGCACCTCAATGATTACAATCACTTGGCGGATGTTGTAACCGTGTTTGGAATCGCCTAACGTGGTTCAACTTACACAGTCGGGAGCAGTGAAACCTCGCGTCCCAGTGACAGCTGAAGAGAATCTTTGTTAAAACCACGATTAAGCTGCCCATATTTATCAGGTTACATACTCATCCTCTAACGATTTCCCTTCACATTGAGTTATCCACACACACGCACTCTAGATGCCGTCAAGTAGACTGCCGCTTCACCTGGACCAAAGATCATACAAAAATTTTAAGGATGCTATCGAAAGTGTACAGATCACCCAACGAACTGCTCTGTAGTTTCCCGTATTCCTGTTCCAAAGATGCATGTTTGCGCGCACACACACGGTCACTGGGGAAGAACATATACAGGCTATCTGGAACGACCGAAAACACCACCATTTCACAAGCACTGAGGATATCATCTCGGCTGGTGATGAAACATTTGCAAACAGTTTGCCACGCTCAGCGAACAAGGACTTCCGTTCACTCGGGGTACGAGAACCGATTTCGCAATACTGTGCAATACATAGATAGATAGATCTGTATGAAAGAGATGACAGGTTCGTTGAAAAGAAAAGATACAGGAGCGTTGCTGATGATTTTTGCAACCAAAATTCGCCAAGTATGAAGTGCACTGCAGTATACAAAGATTTGCCTCCGAAAAACAAACTGTTCTCCGTTCTGTTCGACCCTATTGGTCCACGTATTTCTTTCACATTGAACCATCAATAGTTTGTTCACAACGTTGACTTGATCACATTCGTGTTTGTGTGCATCTACACACACACATGTGGATTTGAATTTGCACAAACAAGCATAGTAATACTCTGTTTCAGCAGTTACATAACAATCTGGCGTTGATTGTGCATGTACAGCGCAGTTTATCGCTCGTATATCGATCGATCCGCTTGCCGTGCGGCGATATTACCATCACTTATTAGCTGGAAAACGTGTGGTGCACTTGATGTGTAAGTAAATTATCGCCTGGTGTGTGAACAGGCAGTTAGGTGACCCATAGGGTCTTTCTTTTCTGTACAGTTATGGATTCTCGTTCTGTCTTCTGTGTCACTCTCGCTCCCGCCCTCTGTCGTCCCCGTCCTGCTCCTCATTCTTCTTCCCCGTGATTTACGCGAAGAGCAACGGGAGAAAACATGCACCTAAGTCTGGGCTGTTTATTTTTGGTATTCCACAAAGCGCTGCCTGTCACAGTATTCGTATAGGCTTGTTCCAAACAATCGCAACGTGCATGTGAAAGTTCTCGAGTTTTTTTGCGAGAAACGGTTCACGCCGTTTTAATAACTTACGCATAGGACAAACGTGGCCCCCGAACAGATGACCTTGTTATCTGATGGAATTGTTTGACGCATAAGTTATGTATTACTGTGTGTATATTGGCTCATGTGTAGTGGTAAATTTCACCCAAGGTGCTACAATTACACAGATATCCAAGCAAGCCAACCACAACACGAATAACAATGATATATTAGAAAATACAGTTATACTGAGTATACACCCAATCCTTGGGGGCAGTGCTTAGATGATCGGGGTAAGTAATGCCGAATGGACTGTTAAAGATGGGTCGTGGTATCATGCATAAGTGGATACCTTTGGATTACTTTGCACGTGTTAGTCCCAAGGTTCGATCCTCGTTTGGGTAGACAGACAACGTTCATCAGGATTGATTCAATTGTGGAGTGCTTCTCATGTGTATATCAGCGTCCATAATTCTCCACTTACGACAAATTCCACTGGACGACATAACTAAATTCGTTTATACTTCCATGTTTAATGCTCTTCCGCATTTTGGACTGTAAAACGTTTGCTTCTTTTAAAATCTGACTTGCTCTGTCCCAGCAACAGTTAATTTCTTGTCACTCAGGGTTTTTACCATTTTCAACTGAGTAGAATAACAGTTCACTTTTACTTATGATAAGTGCTTTTCTTTTCGTTGTCAATTCTACCTTGGACAGTCTCCACAATCCGATGCAAACATGTATACTGGATCGTCATTAGTCGTTCCGATTGGTGCGATGACTTCCAGCACTACCAGTGTACCGTCCCGTGCGGTCAGTGAGTCTCGTTTCTCCTGCCCACCGCAGTCAGTGACACCAGTTGGCAATCCATTGAACTATTCTGCAAGTAATACAGGGACCAACCAAAGCTCTGGACTTTGTGTGGATGCGACCAACATGGACAATACAATGTGGACAAGCAGTTATCTTCCAACTGCCGCCGCAGTTGCGGCAGCAGCTGCAGCAGCCACTGGTAGTGGTACGGGAAATCTGTGGATTCCACCCGCAGCTGCCTATCCAAATTATGCGCATCATTATTACCCAGCACTTTCAGTTCCTGTAGCATCTATTTCTTCACCCGGATTAGTGAACTATGAAGATCCGACCGCGCTGCAGCAAAACACGGTGGTTGATCGTTGCTATAGTAACCCAGCCATTTCAATCGGTGATAAATATCCATCTCAAACGCAAGACTACTATTATTCACCGGGGGCCAACATATCTCCTGGATCGGTTTGGACCGGACCATCCAAGATTTCCGGCCCCCAAACCTACACACCACTTCCGATGCTGGGTCCGTCAACTTCATCGTCAATTTTCTCATCAGTGAACACCACACAACCACAAGTTGGAACGACCACGAACGCGAACAGCTGGCAAATGCTTTTGAACGCTCTGACTGCCCAAAAAAATAATCAAAGTCTGAACTCCACCTTGATTCGACCACCGTTCAGTTCTTACACTCTCAGTTTGGATCGGGCACGTTTGTCTGGTGGTCGAAGGCGAATGCCCATCAATTACGCGGCTCGGCCGATCACATGCAAAGAATTCAATCCAGCCGAGTTACAGTCACTTGGCTTGGGGTGAGTTAAGTGTTTGTTGGATGGTCACATACACGCACACACGTGTTATTTTCAATTCCTATGGATGCATCTGTTTCCATAATATCATTCTTCTTTAGGATGATTTTTACGGTATGTAAGATGTAATGCGGGTGAATGGGAGATTGATAAAGAATAGCTAATTGGTCTCCTATTGGGTGAATATTGTTTAGTATCTCATATTGGCGACTTGATCAAAATGTTGAAACGCAAAAGACTCTGAGACAGGTGTGCTGACCGAAACATCTATCTTCTGACCAGTATACGATTGTTTTTTCTTCAATTAATGACAATGAATGATTATTTTTTTTACGTGAACGCTCAGGATAAAAATCATTTTTGAATCAGTTTTATGAACTGTTTCTTTTTTTATTCTTCAAATTTCAATTTTTTTATCCTGGGCTTTTGTGCCTGAACAAGTGGATAGAAAATGGAACCGCAACCAGTGTTTGCCGCAAGGTTCTTAGCTAGTCCCTCAGTTCGCTGTATTTTGATTTTTGCGTGAAATAGCAAGTTAAACTATCATATTTTTTCGACAGGCTGTTTTCATGACCCCGTAGTGACCCCGGAAAATGTTTTTGATTATTGACGGATATGTGACAGATTTATGTGGAACACGCTGGATCCACTGAATCTGTTTTTGACCCAACTCTAATTCGTATAATTTGATATTTCCATTGGTGCCAACTCATCTGGTCAACTAATAAAGAGAAGATTGAGAGTTGACGCGAGTGAGCAAGTCTGTGTGTATGCTCAAGATAAAGTTATGAAATATAAGAAGAACCATAGTGAACGCTAATCAATTAGTGCACCGTTTGGGACATTAAACTTTTTCTATTGCACACCCAGGTGTATGACGAACAGCAGACGGGGCGAACCCCATAGTCACGAGGACCTGTTGTTCAGTGGTGGAAACCGGTAACCTAAGCCCCGGGACTTGGAGTGACGAGTCGTAAAAGGCATCGATAGTTTAGGCGTGGTATTGAGCCGGACGACAACAGAGCTGCCTACCACCAAAGTCGGGTGGCGGTGGCGGGGTTCAAACCTCGGACCATAGGGTCAAAAGCACTACTAAACCGCCGCGCCACCACCACCCTGTTTCGTCTAGTACCCGCCAGGTCTCCCCGAGGCCCATAATGGAGAATAGTGAAACAACCTATGTTTCTCCTGATCATTCTACTCAGATTTTCATTACGGGTCATGGTCTGACCGGATTCTACCTTCCTTGGCAAACATTACATACCGGCTAACGTTGTTCGGAAGCACGTGTAACATGGAGATGTCTATATTTCTCATCACAATTGACTGGATTACCGCAGCATACATTGAACTTTCCTCTGACAGATGGTCGTTACCATAGTTGCCTCACGTCTGCAAACACCATAGTGATCGTGTGTTTGCGTGATCACAAGCCACCGGAGGATTTTTCACAAGCAGATTGGTTACCACCTGAGTAACGAACTGTTTATCTTCCATAAAATGTCCTCGACGAAATACTTCGTGGGATTGACCCAATTCCACAAAACGTTTTACTTCTTGACAGAACAAAAGGCACACCAAACGTATTAACATTATCCCAAAAGACAAAACCCACTAAAAATGCTTCCAATAATTCCCTTCCTTTAATCCACTAGCATTTTCGTTTTTGATAAACTGCAATCAGGTTCGATGGAATCATATACAGACAGACTCATGCGAACCGAGGCACATTCAAAGCCAAGTATGTGTGCGTCTGCATTCAAATGTTTCAATGCTCCCTTGATTTACCGAATGAGAGTCTGCTTTACGGCTCACCATACCTTTTGCAAGTCAAGTTGTCCCAATATCATATCAAAATGTCCGCAGATTATTTCTAGATGTCCGGGAATCATTTCAAGTTGGCTGACCATTATTTCAAGATGTCTGGTGGTTATTTCAAGTTGTCCCAGTATCATTTCAAGATGTCCTCGGATTATTTCAAGCTGTCGCGGTGCTGACAAGCCTCCCAGCGATGTCTGGCTGACTAACATGCAACACCGATTTCTCTACCTCCCGTTGAAGTGCGGGGGACGATTGTGAGGCGGGTTTCGGTCACACGCCTCAATTCTCATAGCATACATATCGGTTGTTTATCTTGCTAGTACGCGTACGCCTCTGTTTGCATGTGTCCCCCTCCGCTGATACCAGTGAATCATGCGCGATCAACGCTTGAGCCATTGCTTACCGCTATCGCACGGTGCTGCAATAGAATTCATAAGCTACACCCCAAGCGGCTGCACTGGGACACCAACAGATCATGCTCGATCGGTATACACATCAGTATTGACCAGATTCACATCCAGTTTGTTCGACACTTTCAAGTCATAATCCATCTCTGTGGCACCATCACAGAAGCATCTTCAAACACTGAACAATCAAAATGACTATTTTGGCCATATTTTCGGAACGGGATGAGATATCTCTATCAAATCAACTGTAATAGAAATAACGCAACGAGGGCTGTCGAAAGATGCCATAATTTTCATAAGAGTTAAGGAATTTTATAAGAAAATACAAGTTTAAAAATTGGAATGTTTCCAAAATGCACTTTTCTGAGTATGAGCTCTGAATTCGATAATCTTTATCTACGGACCTACGTCGATGCCTTGGATAAGCATGCAGGCCACCAGAGAGAAGATTAAACA